TCGCAGGAACTGTATCTAGTTATGATGTATTATGCTCTTGAAGATTTCTGCATACGTTTTTCAAGTATGCAGCGAACTCCGCTCGAAACTCTTCTTCTTTAGTCAATTTCCGGCACTTGCCCTTCAACTTCTCGTAGGCCGGCAACTGGATGCGCCACCCTAATCCTAGTAGCGTGCCTTCGGTAACGTAGCATGTTCCATTTCCTTGGATCTTCTTCTCCGTAACACAATCTCTAACGGCGAATTCGGTGGAAAATTTACTATCGATCTCCATCGACGTCCCATCTGCCGTTTTTACAGGTATGATGCACGGTTCCAAAGTACTGCTCCAATTCTCTTCCTGGTTCGGCGTAATATCAAAATATCAGCGCATGTATCCAGCTGGAAGCGCAAGGAACATCCGTTGATAACGACGTCGAGATAGGACCTTGCATTCTCGGCCAAACTGACGATGTTTTTGCACTGTCCTCTGCGACCATAGGGCTGGCTCCCTGTTCTGCGTCGCTTCTTCTAACCAGTGGAGGCCGAAATTGGGATTTTGCTTCTAAAATGTGGACCTCCACAGTTGAAGCATTTTACCTATTTCTTCTACACATAATGAATGTCGTGTGTTCCTCCATGTCCGTGCTGTCCATTTTCAATGCGGTGAAATTCTCACATTCGTTAACCAAATCTGCGATTCAGCGGAGTGTCATGCACATGTGAGTCCAGTCGGCGAATCATTAAGGCAAATTTTCCGCAGTGCTGGATCCTGAAGGCCCGCTACAAATGGTAACGTCTTCATCGCCATATATCGAGTTCCTCAAGTCGCGCGTTCTCGTCCATTCGCTTGATTGTGTTGGCGTACTCCCGCGCTGGTGTCGGCGGCGGAGAAGTGGCCCTAAGGCATCGTATCTTCTCCTTATCAATGTCTTAGAAGCAAACAGCTTCTGAAAATATGCTACCGTTGTGTCGAAATCCAGTTCATGTGGTTGCATAGGTACGACCTCATCTGCATACTTCCGATATGCGTCCTCATTCAACTTCATGGTGATCAGATGGCACTTCTTGTTCTCCGGCAACAAAGCGTCGCGTATGACCGGTCCGTACCTGTACCAATAGGCGAATGTGTTACCTGTCACTTAGCCTGAGACAAATTTTTGCACGTGCCTGCTCAGCTGATCGTATTGATCAATGCTGGCATTCTGGACGGTATCACCTTGACTGCGGCTTAGAGAATAAGGGTGGCGAACATTGACTTCATTTCGTCATGCTACATCTTCATTTCGTTGGAGACGCATACCATGACAGTCAGGACCTTCTCCAATTGAGACTCATGACCACACCGTTCTT